TATTTATATAAGACGCCGGTATGTGTCACACTAAGATGCCTTTTAGTGGTAACAGTGAATGATGTTGATTCAATAAGGGACTCATCACATCTGCTCTTTTTTCTTCCAATACAGTATACAAATTAAAGATAAGTGATATTTCAAAAATCCCAAATCTGAGCATATTATCCTCCCGCCTGAGACTCTTCATGTCCCTTCCTGTGTCTTACACTGAAATCCAAACCTTCAACCATATATTTGTTAGAGCTCAATCTTTATTTTTTTAAAGATTTATTTACTTATAAGAGAGAGATTGAGAGGGAGAGAAAGAGAGAGAGAGAGAGAGAGTAAGCACAAGCAGGAGGGGCAGAGGGAGAGGGAGAGAGAATTCCAAGCAGACTCCAGGCTGAGCACGAAACCCATAGGACTCAATATCCTGACCTCAAGATCACAACCTGAGTGCAACTCAGGAGTCAGGTGCTCAACTGACTGAGCCGCCCAGTTGCTCCAGGGATCAGTGTAATCTTGACCTCTACTCTCACTTTATCTTGTGCCACACTTCCCTTGGTCACCAGGCTCAGATACCTTGGACTCCCCTCAGTTCCATAAATGTGTTTCACTTCTGCCCATGCATGTTCTTCACATTTGCTAGAATGATCCTGCCTAGAATGTTCCTTTCTTCCTCTTCACCTGGAGAACTACCTGCAGTCTTGAAGTGGCAGCTTCAACACTACTTGGTTCACAGGGACTTCCCTGATGCTTTTGTCATGAGGACATCTGGTCTTTGGGGTCTCCCTAAACATGTGCAGGCTCTATACCTGCAAAGCTCACAGGATGTCTTCATGACAAAGACACGAAGGGGACTTACATCTTTATTATGGCAATTTGAAGATAGGGGAGCCTTGAAGAAGGGGAGCCTTTTATTTACTTCACACAAACTAGTTGCATTCATCGTTGACTACCTTGTTTTATTAAATATGTTTCCTATAAAAGACTCACCAGTTAACTGTACTTGTTATTAATTAATTATTCATAAAATTTTAAAGATTTAGGTTCTGTCTCTCACACTAGATTGGATAATTTATCCTTGTCTTGTTACTCCCTTGAGTCCTGCCTTCTCACCTGTATTCAGCAATATCTGATCAGTGACATGAAGGACACTGCTGCATTCTGGCTCCTCTGAGGCTGCACTGGCCACACCTGGGTCTTAAGCAAATGTAATTGCTGCCTTCAGCTATATACTTATTGCAGGTTTATATCTGCTTTTAGAGCCACAAAAAAGCCAGTTGATCACAGTTTACTGGTGGTATCCATAGTCTATACAATAGAAATGCCAAAGCACACACTCCCCAAACTACTTTGTAGCATGAATAAGAGTCACTGAGAACACATTTTGCAGCTTTAAAAGTACTTTACTTGTAGTTATAAGCATAGTGGTAGCCCTGAGCAGAATGGTAGGTAGCGATCAAGTGCGGGTAAGTTTAATAACATGTGCTTTGTATCACTGCATAATACTATACAGCATTTTAGCAGTTTGTTTTTCCTCTCTATTTTATAGGCTCTTCTCCAATATTGTGATAAAATCTCATATTCCTGACAACCTGACTGCACATAAGCAGACTTCCTCACTGTGTTCAGAGACACAAGCCAGGTTCCCCTGGCAACTGCAACTGCCTGGAGGTTTCTTAATGCTCTGCCCATTTTGGCTTCACTTTATTTTGGCCATTAGTTTGGTAAAAAAGAAAAAAAAATAAGAGTATTCAAATGAAACAAAACTGCCTTTATCATAATTAGTAGTATTTTGCCTTCAGAAGGCTTTCCCAACTAGTAGAGTTTTCTTATTGGTGATCAGAATGAGAACATCATCTTATAGTTTAGAAGTCCCAGGCTGAGTTCTGCATTCTGCTTTCATTATAGAGTACCTAGCAAACCTCTACACACACACACACACACACACACACACACACACACACACACACTATGAGAGAGCAAAAAGTTCAAGTTATTGGAATTGTACAAACTTGGAAACTTCTTTAAAGTTTTTTTTACCTCTTGAAAACTGTTAGGGTGCCTTAGTGGCTCAGTCGGTTAAGCCTCTGCCTTTGGCTCAGTTCATGATTTCAGGGGCCTGGGATCCAGCCCCACATTGGGCTCCCTGCTCAGTGAGGAGTCTGCTTCTCTCTCTCCCTCTGCCCTCTGTCCCTCTGCCCCCCACACCCACTCATGCGCTCTCTCTCAAATAAATAAATCTTAAAAAAAGAAAGTTTACTTATATCTTTTCAAGTAATACCTTTCCTGTTCCTCTTTTTTATCTTTGCCAAATAACCCTTTCTCTATATATATTTTGTCTTTTGGGGAAGAGTCACTCTGCATTTGCTCCCTTACATGAAACTATTCTGTGCAATCAGCATATGGCAAGAGCCAGAAACACCTGTGTTTGAGCCCAGCTCAGTAATGTTACCAGCTGTATGAGCCACCTGGGTGCTAAGTACAACAACAAAAATTAACCAATGTGGTGAGTGCAAAAGCAGGATAGATATTGTAAATACTCTTTCAAAAGGGAGGGGGTCGGGGGGTTGGGTGAGCCTGGTGATGGGTATTATAGAGGGCACGTATTGCATGGAGCACTGGGTATGGTGCATAAACAATGAATTCTGGAATACTGAAAAGCAATAAAACAAAATGAAAACAAAACAAAACAAAAGTGTGTTGCACAGAGACAGTTGTAGGTATTTTCAATGCATGAAATCATAAATAAATAGGTAGTAGACAGAAAGATGGATAATTCCGTCTTTCCTAGCTATTTTACTTAAACATATTATTTTTACTTTCTTACTTGGATACTGCTTAGTTTTCAAACACAATGTCTTCCTGGGTTAGTTTGGTGGTAGTCTGGGATCCCTCTGGCAGGAAATGAGCCCCCAGACATCTGGAGATGATTCATCTGCCATCTTCCTAACACAGAAGTACCCAGACATATGGAGATCCCACCATTCTGATGTTTTGTCAACTTCTAATGAAAATCTGCAATCAAAACCTAAAAAAAAAAAAAAAAAAAAAGTAAGATTTGATAATAATTTTCAAAACACCTATGATCCCAGGGTTGGAGGGATTCTTTTGGGCAAAGGAGAGCTTTGCTGTTGTTCTTTGAATCAAATTCCTAAGAAGAGCTGTGCATTTTGAGGTTGTTGTTAAGACTCCAGTGTCAAATGCTTCTTTGGGGGTCACAATATCTTGAATAAGGTAGGAGCTCTCTTCTGCAGTCGACTGATGAATGGTATGACTGTGTCAGCATCCTGACTCCCATACCCAATTTGGAAAGGGGAAGCTCCTCACTGTCCTTCAGGACTTCACTTCAGTGGCTGAGTCCTTGCTCCCCTGTACAACTTACCTTGGCCTTCCTTCATTTTTGTCATTGTTCCCTGGGTCTCTTTGTTGGAGGGCGTCTTTCACCCAGCAGAATCTGAGCAATCCTTGACTAGTGGAGTTAACCACAGAAATGACAATGACTGAATTTCTCTACGGGAGTTCAGGTTCTTGGGTGCTTCATAGAGAAGGCACCCTAGGGACAGAAAATTGATGACTGCAGGGAATAAAGAAAGAAAGAGACATTGTCAACTCCCCAGCCAACACCAAGGCCTGATTAGGGAGAGTATTTTACTTATTCGCAGGTAATAGCATGAGATACAGTTAATATCTCTAAGGTGCAGTATGTGTGTCATCTCAGAGAAGACTAGAAGGATTGGAATGTACAGGAATATTCTATTTATGTATACTAAATCATTAATATCTTATGACCTGGTCTTATTCTAATTAGACTATTTTGCTACTTTATTTGGATGGGTCATTCAAATAAACAAAAGCACGTTTTTTCTCCTCTCTTGAAAGACCTGCCTGGAGAATGAGGCCCGCAGTAGTTCTAGACTTTATTATAGATAATCTATTTTTTTTTAAAAGATTTTATCCATTTATTTGACAGAGAGAAATCACAAGCAGGCAGAGAGGCAGGCAGAGAGAGAGGAGGAAGCAGGCTCCCCGTTGAGCAGAAAGCCCGACGCGGGGCTTGAACCCAGGACCTGGGATCATGACCTGAGCTGAAGGCAGCGGCTTAACCCACTGAGCCACCCAGGCGCCCCTATTATAGATAATCTAGATGCATGCTCCCATTGAGGCATATCCTTCCTCATTACTAAAACTAAAGGGAACAGCAGCTCTCAGTCTTTGCGCTGTCCAAGACAGGATGCTGTGGCTCTGGGTAGTTGGTGCTCACTGAGCCTCAGCTGGGCGCTGCCAGAGGCTGGGCAGTTACCTCCGCTGGCCAAGCTGGGTTTGGGTGGGCGGCACGGGGCGGGGCAGGACGGGGCGGGGCTCCCCTGAGCTCTCCCCCCGCCCGGCCAGTGCTCCCGCCGAGTCCTAGCAGCAAAGGCCTGGCTGAGCCGCCGCAGGTTGTGGGGAGCCGAGTGAGCTGCGGCGACCGAGCTGGGTAGAAAAGGTACCTCCGTCGGAGCACTGGGCTTGGGCTGCGCGGCGACTCTGAGGGCTGAGCCGCCCCGGGAGCGCAAGGTTCCGCAGGGGCCAGGACGTCTCCTGAACCACTGCTCGGGGCTCCTGGAGCCGGAGGTAAGCTTCGGGCTTTTGACTTTCTAGGAGCAGTCCTGGGGAGCCAGGGTTCTGAGCTCGAGTGCTTTTTGCTCCTGGGGGCTCAGAGCATCAGTCTGGGGACAATTCCACCAGGGGACCGTGCCTAGGAAAGGGCTGGAGGGGATTTCTGGAGCTGCGGAAGAGGAGCGAGCGCTGGCTGTCCGCCTCACCAGTACCCAGCGGCAGCGAGAGGTCCACCCTCCTTCTCCCGCCCCGGGGGACGTGGCGCCGGATTGGGCATCAGGGGTCCTGGGCTCCGCCGGCTACTGGCCTCCGCGCGCTGGCCCGCGTGCGGGCAAAGTTTGCCTTTCTGGGTCCAGCTAGCTCTCGTGACCCCGCAGTTCTTCCTCTGCTTGCCCTCCAGCTGCAGCCGCCTGACTATGGAGTCCCCGGTCCAGATCTTCCGCGGGGAGCCGAGCCCCACCTGCTCCCCGAGCACCTGCCTGCTCCCAAACGGCAGCTGGCTGCCTGACTGGGCCGAGGCGGACCGCAACAGCAGCGGGGGCTCCGAGGGCGCGCAGCTGGAGTCCGCGCACATCTCTCCCGCCATCCCAGTCATCATCACGGCGGTCTACTCGGTGGTGTTCGTGGTGGGATTGGTGGGCAACTCTCTGGTCATGTTCGTGATCATCCGGTGAGTGTGGGGTCCGGGCGCCGCAGTGCGTGGGGTCTGGAGGGAAGGTCGGGTTCTGCCGCCAGGACTGGAGGTTGGGGCTCCAGCCTGGTGGCGGAGACTCCTTGCAGTTCTTGCGGGGACCCCGGAGATTCTCAGAGGGTGGCCTCGAAGTAAAGGATTTCCTGGAAGAGTTTTGGGTGGGGAACTGCGAAATTCACATGGGGCGAATCGCACAGCCAGGGGCTATTTGAGCATTTGAATGACCCTCCTCTTCACCCACCCCCAACCCTGGCCCCTACTGAAAACTGTGGTCAGGCAAAGTACTAGGGTGTGGAGAAAGGTCAGTGTCTTCTGGAAAGGAAGCTAGTTCCTTTAACTGGCTTTTTTGCCTGGTTGCCCACGCCAGTTCGGAGCACTTTGTTCTCTCCTTTGCAAATATTTCTTAAGGTAAAATTCAGGCCCATCGAATGCATTGGAAATAATTCAGAATTTTACGTGACTCATCACATTGGTATTATGGTTTATGAGCAAAAGCCAGTATACTATTTAGAGTTGTTGGTAACCATGCATGAGCCCTTTTAGTACTGAAATGTTTCCTCATTTATTTAGAATATCAGTGATTTTTTGGTAAATAAGCCATCCAATATTTATCCTCTAAAGTGGATGGTGGAGGTTTTCAAATATTGCTTTACTTTTTATTTTCCATCTAGAGAAGCTGATGGTTCTATTTTATTGTTCTTTGGTGGCATTACATTGAAGTCAACTTCTAATTATTAATACCCAAATATCCACCTATATCTGCTAATTTTCTGGTAAGTGAAGCAATTCTTATTTTGGCCTCTTTCAACAAAGAAAACAAGAAAAGGAAAAAAAAAATCCCAACTTTGTTCTGGATGCCCTTTGATATATATGTATTTCCCTTTCTGGGAGAGTTGAGAGTGAATAAGGGGCTTACATTCCTTTGAGAAGTCCTTGTGAAATAAGGGACACAAGTCACTCTTTTCAGAGGCATTGAAGAGATGAATAAAAACTATGTTTTTGTTTTTAAAGTCTAACTTTAGCTCTATATTTTATATGACCCTTAAGAACACTATCTATAGTAGCATGAGTCTTGGGAAATCATCATAATAAAAAATGCCCATTAAACTGTCTATCTAGGTTTGAGAATGTAAGGTCTTTTATCTTCATCTGCACTCTGGAACTAAAATCCATCATTTAGGCCTCCGAATACATATTATAAATCTCATTTCACCTACAGTTAGTGCTTGTGGCTTATTAGTTTTGGTTTCCGTAATTGTGTATTGCATTTTTAGGCATTTGCTCTATGATGCGTAAAGGCTACAGAGGGAGAAAATATTTTAAAACACGTTGTTTTTCCAAATCATTAGTAATTTCAGGGCTGCTCACCTTTAGAGAGAAGATTATAGCAACCAAAAGAAAAGAAAAGACAGCTGTGTTCTCAATTACAATTAAAAATTTTTAAAAATCTCTGTTCAGAGGCTGTTGTTTTGTAATAAAACATTGTTAAACAAGAAGATGTTAAGAAAAAAAAAAAGTGTGTTCCTACTTATATTTAAGTGCATGAGCAAAATAAATACATCTTATTGTTATTTGAATGAGCACCTGAGGTTTTGAGTTTGAGAAGAGCTTCTTAGTTGCTTAACAACTGTTTATATAACTGTGCAGAATATGATCAAAAGGAATGAAGAATCCTAAAATGTGTGTAAAGACAACTCCATGGAGAACAGTAGACATGTCAGAATGAAAACAGAATTATAGATTAACTAAGACTTTTAATGACAAATATGAATATGAAGAAATAGAAATAGAAATGAAATATAAATATATATAACAATTACATATAATTACATATAATGAATAATCACCATTATAAATCATAATATGGTACACTTACTAATTAGTCACATATTTATATAACATATGCAGTCTATAATTATATGTGTGTGTGTATCCAAAAGATACCCAAGACTAAAATTTGTTAAAAGGAGATAAATTCAACTAAAAATACAAAAGAAGTTAGCAAGTTCATGTAACAATCATCCATCCTCCCACCCCACTCTTACCTACTTGGAGATGAAATATGAAAAGTGATGAGTTCTGCTATCATCCTGGAATACCAATGTACTGAAACATTAGTTTGCTTACAGCTATAGCTAAGAGGATTAAGGAGTATTTGGAGTTGGTTAAGACTGAGACATGGTCAAAGATTTGAAAAATAAAACCTCAGAAGAGAAGTTGGTGAACTTGGGTTTATTTTGCTCAGAAGAAGGAACTGAAGACTTGAGAGAGGTGGGTATGGTGTACACATCAGAACTGAGAGCAGAACGGGAGTGAGGATTCATACGCAGATTTGTAATTGATCTTGAGGGCTGAGCAACACTGCTTGAAAAGATGGAGGATCACTTTTGAGAGGAACACTATTTTAAAATACTACACATTGAAAAAAGTCATGGTTCAGCCATCTAGGACATCATTCTAAAGATGCTTGGATGTCAGGGCAGGTACAGGTCCGAGATGGCCAGCTCAGACCTGGGGAGTAACTTAGGGTTGTGGAAAAAGCTTTGACTGTTTTTAGAGCTGTCTTATACATTGCTTTCCCATATTGGGTGCCTGAAATGCCACTCAGTACCCTCTGAATATATTTATAATTTCAAGGGTTTTCATCATTTCATAGGTACCAATTGCCATAACTGCCTAATATTAGGGCATAGTAACTTTTCATTGTGAAAACCTTAAAATTAAGCACCTACATGCTCCCTTCTCACTAGACTTTGGCATTTGTGGTCCTGGGATGGGAGGTTCTTTTGCTTTTTAAAGACTTTATTTATTTATTTGACAGACAGCGATCACAAGTATGCAGAGAGGCAGGCAGAGAGAGAGGGGAAGCATACTCCCCGCTGAGCAGGGAGCCAGATGTGGGGCTTGATCCCAGGACCCTGGGATCATGACCTGAGCCGAAGGCAGAGGCTTAACCCACTGAGCCACCCAGGCGCCCCACGTTGGAAGGTTCTTACCTCAGCCCTAGATCTCTATATTTGGCTTCTACGGAGACCTCGGCTGTGCCAATGGGTGTGACACTTAGGATCCTAAGCCTGTGTTCTCTCCACCTCTACCTGTGTAGGTCACCTGCAGCGAATGTTGTGATGGCCACCCACACCCACACCCACATCCTGGATCCTGCCAGGCAGTCTCACCTGTGACATCTAAAACTTCCATTCTCCTGCAACTTCCATGCATACAGCTGTCTCCACCCCTAGCAGACATGACTAAAACTTGAGAGACACTAAATATATGCCAGATGGGTAAAGCTCCCTACTTCATGGGAATCATTTTATTTATTCTATACAACCATAGGTGTATTACTATCCCATTTAACAGATGGTGAAATGAAGGCAAAGAAAGATTAAATAAACTGACAAAGGTCACACCTTGCTGATCGTGGAGCCAGGCTGACCCCAGCGCCTGTGCTTTGGCTCACTGTTCAATTCACTGCCCATTATACCACTCTGGCAGACCTGTGGATATTTTCTTATTGGACAATAAGAAGTCATTTTCTCCCAGACTCTCCTTTTCTCTTAACTTGCCTGGACACCATAAACCGTCACTGCAGCCTCTCTTGACAATACATTCAGCTGCCTTGCCTTCTTGTCCTTCTGCTGTTGTCTTCCACTGAACCACGACCCTGGATCAAGCTAGTAGTTTATCTTTCTGTTCCTATTCCCAGCGAACTGAATGCCGCTGAATAAAATCAGTTTTATCTTTGTAAAGATACACTTGAAGGCAAAGTCGCCGCCTTCAAGAGTAGTTGAACCCAAGTCTGCCTAGTGTTTCTGTGTCTCTCTCTTATTTCCAGAAAGGAACAATACCTTTTCCTATTTGTCACTAATAAACAAAAAACAAAACAAAACAAAACAAACGAACAACAACAAAAACAACAAACCAAAACAAAAGAAAACAAAAAAGCAAAAAACTCCAAACTAATTTAGTCGGTACTAATTCCTAAGCCCTCCCTGATCATATTTCATCATGGTCAGGGGATCATCTTAACCCAGTAGTTCACTGTGACACTAGAGTCTAGCTGCTGGGAATGTTCTGCCTATATACATGCATTGGCAGCCACCCTCCCTCATATCATCCCATCTCTGTGGAGATGTTTCCTTCTTTGTATCCATAGCAGATCCCTGCTCCTGAGGGTTGAATCTCATCACCTTGGGCTCTCCTGAGGTCTCTGCTGTGTTAGCTAACCCATTTCTCTGCTATTTATAATCTCTCCACTGCTTTTGTCCTTTTAGCTCCTGGACATACTCAAGCATCTGTCATCTTACAGGTAGTCAATATCCACGACCCTTCCATTTTTCTGAGTTCCCTTACCTAATGTCTTTTCATCCTCCTGTGTATTGTAGGTAAACTTCTTAGAGGGATAATCCTTCTTCATTTGCCTGTCTTTCACATGTTCCCTCCCTGACGCTCCTTTACCAAAGCTAGAGCATCATGTTTCAGCTTCTCATTTTGGCTGACTGTGCCTTGATTTCTGTGGAGATTTGATATGCTCAACCAGTCTTATGCCCCTTGCTTTCTCTGATAGCACCCTGTCCTTCACTTCCTGGCACATCCTTGGGTTTCTCTTGTCCACAGCACAGCCTACTCTTTTTGTGTTTCTTAATTGGTCATATTTTCCAGAGCCTTCTCAGCTCTTCTATCCTCACTTTTCTCACTCTCTGTATTAGTCAGGATTCAGTCAGAACAGTAGAACCAGTAGGAGATGTACCTGTGAAGAGATTTGTTGCAAGGAATTGGGTTATGTGTTGGTGGGACTGGCTGAGCAAGTCTGGTGGGAAGGCAGGCATCAGCAGAGGCAGGCTACTTGTGGCAGGGGGATCTTCTTTCTCAGGGAAACCTTTGCTCTGCCCTATCTTGGTGTGCTAAGTCTGCTGTCACAAAGGTCCACAGACTGGGTGGTTTAAACAACAGAAATTATTTTCTCACAGGGAGACTAG